TGCTGCCGACTACGATGCCGGCAAAACGTCTGGGAATGTACTTCGTCCATGATCTGAGTTTGGAAATGATGATGCATACAATGGACTCCGGACAAGGTGCGTTCCTCTAAGTCTTCCAACCAATATGGACATGTTGCGAAAACAAGGTCAAACAACTTCTATAGAAAGAAAGGAGCCTGCGATCACACAAAAGGCCACACCAGCTTGGTCTTCATACCTTAGATTGAACTTTAGTCTTTCATACGACAGACATCGTCGGGCATCTTTTTCGTTTATAAGTGGGGTTTCGAGACCGCCAATAAATCAGTTATATGAGATGTATTCACCCTATTTCGCTTAAGTTGATGAAGGACTGGTAGGCGAATTTTACCACAATGATATGAGTAGAGCTGATGCTTCCATTGAATTTCACATAACATTACTTTCACAATAGTAGACAATCTCCTCCAGGGTCGAGTGGAATACAGTATCGGCCTCGCCCAAGTCTTATCAACAGTCCAAGAGGGACTCGAACCATGATAGTGCACCTGGTAATCTCGACACATTAACCACTACGCCACATTGCTACGAGTGCCGTTGGGTCGCGGGGCAGATGAGAATTTCAACAAAAGCCAGGCATTTTTCCATATCATATTCTTTGGTGGGATTGCCGATGCGGCAAAGTTATGTTTACCTCAACAATCTAATACATCAATTATTGTTCGCTTATAAATAGGATTTCGATTTACTGTTAGTCTAGTATCCCTACTTATAAACGAAAAATAAGTAATGTAGTAGATTGTTATTGTAAATATAACGTTGCTTGATCGGCAATCCCACCAAATAATGTGATATGGAAAAACTCCTGACCTTCCATGAAATTCACATCTGCCCTTTAACCTAAGGACACTAGTGGTGTTGTGGTTAACCTGTCGTGATTATACGCTACACTGTCATTGTTCGAGTCCCTCCGGGGGTGTTGATAAGACCTAGGCGAGGTGGAAACTGAAGTCCAGCCTGGATGAAAATACCTTTGAGAAAGCAAGATTATGTGGAATTTGATGGAAGCGTCAGCTTTACTCATCATTGTGGAAAAAAGCAACTACCAGACCTTATCTTCCTTAAACGAAGTAGGGTGACTACATTTTGTATATCTTCATATCTGATACTCCTTCTTCTTTTGAAAGCTTCAATTTAATGCCAAGTCAGGAAGCTTATTCGCCTCTATTCTCCATATATAATCACAAGTAAAAGCGAAAAAAGGTACATAGATATCAATAAATATCATATAAATCTAATTCTCAATACTAAAGAGTGTGTGCGTGTAGGCCAGAGTATGAAATATTTGTCATAACTCGAGCAATTGCAACAAATCCTGACCCCAGCCATGGGTAATCAGAGTTTAATTGTACAAGGACAAGTATGACTAGTGTTGTATCAGCCCATTTGTTTAGTTGCTTTCATTAACTTAACGGCACTGTTGAACGAATGTGAATGTGGCAAGAACCATCGCTGGGCTGACCAATTAGGCCGTCTTGTGGTCGGTGCCTTAACATCCTCTTTTCTTCAGTGTACCAATAAACTATAGTTTTAGCCGCCGACCACAAACAGGCGACCCAACTGATCAACCCAGTGATGGTTCTTATCAGCCCAACGAGATGTACAGATTTACGCAATCCAAGTTATGCCTTTTACTGCGTCATTAACCTCTGATGGCCTATGATTGATGTTCACACTCATTATAATTAATATGATATGTATTCACCCAATTTGGTTTTAGGCGATGAAGGACTGGTAGAAGAAGAATTTTCCCACAATCATATGAGTTTCTATTGCATTTCACATAAAGTTGCTTTCCCAAAAGTTGTTCTCATCCAAGCACCAGTGGACTGCAGTTTCAACCTCGCATCGGTCTTATCAACACCCTCAGCGGGAGTCGAACCGCGACAGGGCAGGACGGTAGCTTGACACGTTAACCACTCCGCTACATTGCCACGAGCGCCTTTAGGGTCACAGGGCAAATGTGAATTTTCAAGGAAGGCCAGACCTTTTGTTGCCATATCATATTCTTTGGTGGAGATGTCGATGAAGCAAAGGTATATTTGCCATAGCAATCGACTACTATTACTGGTTGTCTCGAAACAATACATAATGCGAAAAATCATTATGATTACTCTGAGTTATAACCGGTATTTAGTACCTTGGCTTACACGCCTATAAATTCCAGTTGGCGCATATACACACTAGAATTGGTATTTGGTAAACATTAAAATGTATGCGAAAGAAAGTTGGGTTCCGAGGAATATCTTGTTTCATAATTGTTGAGCGAACTTCCATTTCGAGTGGAAGTGTTGAGTGAAGAGATTCGAAAGTCGGTTCCACCAGAAGACGACGGCGGATTCCTCTCTACCAGCTGTCGATTTGCTTTACTGGAACATTCATGCTGACACTGTTTCCAAGGCAATCTCTTTTGATTTCGGTGAAAAGTTGCTAAGCTTTCGTCCGTTATATGACGAACGGGTTTCGTGCATATGCGAACACAAACAGGCACATACAAATACAGAGACAGACACACTCACATGCATCGAAGTTGACATATGACCTTAGCTAACCAAATCACTTTATACTTGATCAAAGAAACCAGATGTAGAGCATATATACCACTTTTAGGGATTTGCCGGTGAGCTTTCTTGACTCGTTAGCTTGAATTTGGTTGTGACGATGTTACCTCACTCTGATGATGTCCGTCATCACCCTAAACCACGGCAGATAAAGATCTTAGTAAATCAAGCCACGCTTTCACACAAATTCACAGTCTTTGTATTAATATTCATGTCATAAGTAAGTATAATTTTTGAGTTATTCAAGTAGCTCCTTAGCACTTGCTGCGTATGATGCATATTGTGAAGCGGCTCGATTTTCCCCCACTGAATCCGAGTCCCTTTGTTCGGTCTTCATCAGACCTGGGCTGCTCTTTGTACCCCACCTTAGTCTCACCAGTGCCCCATAACGACTAGAGTTCACAGCTTTTCAGGCTTTTGTGTCCTCATTTTCTCCATAAATCGTGTCTTTTTCAGCATGAATGTCATTCATGTCGAACCAGCTATCGAGTCTATCCTTCTCTCTTTTTTTCCGGTTTCACGCTGGTCTCAATTTGTTCTATCCATCTCCATCTTTTGCTTATTCCCTATAATTTTCATTTTCCATCTATTCCCTTCATATTCCATCTATTCCCTCTGTCCATTCACCAAATCAACCCACCGCAGACTGCTCGTCCCATCCCAGTTCCGGGCACCATCTGAACAACTTCAACCGGGCCCATTCCCGATCTATGGGTCTGCTGCCGACTCCACCGCCAGAACAGCAGATCAACGCCGGTGATCTGCACAGGTGAGCTGTTCTCTTGCCTCACTTGCGTCTCTAAGCCCTATCTTGAAGAGGTTGTCGGGTTCATCTTTCCAATCCGCGTTTCGTCTGCCCCCCCCCCACCCTTGGATCTCCAATGGCATGTCCGCTGACCGGCTGCGCCGATACCACTTGTTAGCCTCATGTGGAGAGACAAG